GAGCTGTTGGGACACTTTTATAATTCAAATATGCTTATTTAATCTTACAGTATAGATTGATAAAAGAGCAAGCAGATTTTCACAAACGGCTAACACAAGTATTTTGTGCTAGTAGAGGATTTCTTTGCAAGCATTATTCAAGGTAATAAGTAGAAATATGCATATACTTTAAAAGACTTCAATAACTCACTATTAATACTATTTTGATACAACTATCAGTGTAAATGGGTAACATTTCAGGACCTTATTCTTAATTTAAGCTTTCTACTGAAGATGACAAATTACGTGTAAGAAGAATGGAACCGTCTGAACACAGTACTGGAATACTTATGGATAGTTTCATCTCCTTCCAAAGTATTTTAACATTTAATAGATTGTACTGCATTAAAACAGAAGTGATTTTAAAGACCAAACTAATTTTTAAGCATCTTGAAGGATTTTTTTTTTTACTGAGTAGAAATTTATCATAAGGTTCAATTTTATTCTTCTACTACTGCTGAGTTGTCTGTTATTTTGAAGCAGCTAATGAACCTTCAAATCTTTTTGTACATAACTGCATTGCAACCCTGTATTTAAAAAGGCAATCTGTAAATTTTTTCCTTGTCCACTGTAATTCTTCAGCAAATAATAATCACAATTTTAAAAGTATTGTATGATATCAAAAGACAGCTTGATAGCTGTTCAGTGGGATAGAATATGAAATTACTCTTTAAGACAGCCAACACTTAAGTCAATATAGAACGCTTTTGCTAAGACAATATTCTAGGTGCGATTAAAAGCTTGAGTTTGACTGTTTTGCGTAAATGAACAATTTGAGGAGCAATCAATCTAGCTTATTCTCTCATTGCTTTTAGTGAAAGTCTTTTTGTTATCATATACACTCTCAAATCTCTAGATATACAGAAAATAAATTGAGGAGTAAGACAGCACATCTAAGAAGGAATCACATATTGGCATTCATTGCAATCATTACTTTGTCCTATGATTACTCTAGGAATGAAAAAAAGAAAATAAAAAGCAATTTAAGAAGTCAATGTATAATCATTCTAAAATTACTTACCCACATGAACATAAAATAACAAGGGATTTTTGCTTCAAAAACTGATATTAGAGTTAGACCTGCTGATTGGCTCCTGAAACAGAAAAATTATGACTAACGGAACTTTGACAGGCTTTCCCTTTTCTGCAATATTATTGTTATAGATTTTTTAAACAACAGCCTATTGCATACTTGCAGGTGATCACAGAAATAAACCAATCAGTCTCTTACACATGTGCTGAAAGTGTGTCTTAATGAGGATGCTCTATTTTCCAAGAAATCACATCTTTGCCACATAATCTGTGTTCTGGTCAAGATTTGTTCTGGTCCCTCAAAAAAATTTTTTTTGTTGTTAAATCCTTGGTTCTTTAACAGATGTCAAGGTCTATATATGCTGTGTTTTGATAAGTAATTTAATATGTAAAATGCTTTGAATGACTCTCCTGGTATGTATAAAAACTGTTAAACAGGTCAAAATAGAAATCTCATGATGTATAGTAGTAATACGTCATTAGATTTTCATCAATATACACAACACTGTGCATCTGGATATGGAAACTATTTCAAAAGCCTCCTCATATTGTCTTACTTAACAGCAGATACAGCATAAGTAAAGTATGGAGAAAAAAATTCAACATTTTAATGAAAGTGACCAGAACAAATTTTTAGCAGCAAAGCGTTTACATCAATTTAAGTGCCATGAATTAGTTACATTGGGCAAGTTTGGAGTGAGGTAGAAACTACAGCATTCAAACAGCAGTCACTGTTCTTTTAAAGACCAATGCTATATTCCACCTTGAATCAGAATCATTTACAGTGAAATTCCAACAGATAATTTAAAATCGAACTCTGAGAATAAAAATAAATAATACCAGTTTGCTTATACCATGTTCACATTCCCTTAATGTAATTTTGTTTATTCTTGATAGTCCTAGGCAGAGGAATGAAAGACATTTTTAGAGAAGGAGTTTTCTATCAGTTATAAGAAATATTAATGTAATTTTATCTCAAAATTTCAGTTGAGCAGTGATAATTACCATCATTTCTATCAGTATTCAAGAAACAAATAAATGAGAAAAATAGTTAAGTGTGGTACACTTATTAAGAATAATCACAAACATGTCCACAATAATTGATATCAATGCTGTTAACTATTTTTATTTAATATAAAATTTGTTTCTTAAATCAACATGTATAACATAATTTGCCTAGACTACATGTTTGTTTTGAAAACAATTTCTTATGAACATAAAAGCTTATATATGTCATATAGAGTTGCAATATTATCACAATAGATATGTATTATATAATTTGCACTCATGGTTTGCGTTTTTTTCACTTCTTGTAATACGTACCATGTATATTTGACCTAGACTCTGAAGCCACCTTATAAAGTAAACTATTTTCCCACCTTTTATCAGTTTTACCATACTATCTTTGATTTGTTCTTAAAGATACCTTCTGGCCCTATCTGCACAGATAAGGGTGGCTAGAACGTGGTCCCAAAAATGTGTACTGAATGTATTGTGTTTCTCATATAATTTCTGTGGTTTGTATATTAACATTGCCCAACACTGTTTGCATTTTTTCCTTAGAGGATTTTTTTTTTTTTTTTGGAAAGGTTTGCTTTTGGTTCTAAAGTCTAAAAACGTTTTGTGATTTATTTCAGAATGAAGCTGCTCTCTCCTCATCTGGCCTTTCGAATAACTAACCTCTATAAATCTGATTATGGTGGATTTCTGAATTTTCACTGATAGAAGATATTCTTACTGGTTTGATTCTTTGAAAGCTGTAGGATGGGGCTGGGGATTTAGCTCAGCGGCACAGAGCCTGCCTGGCAAGCACGAGGTCGTGAATTCGATTGCCGGTACCGGAAAAAACAAAAAAAAAAAAAAAAAAAAAAAGAAAAAGAAAATTGTAGGCTGACTAGGTACTCAGGAATATAACTCCTTTAAGCAAGAAGTGAAATTGAACAATCAACAAACTACTAACATCATTTGTTTTTCTATTGTGTACAATTGGTTTTAAAATAAACTCTAAGGACAAGGTTGTATTACTTAATTTCTCTTACAAATTAGGAAAGGTCTGTTACTAAACTCTCTGTTTTTCAAAAGATCCTTTCTGGGGTTTTACTTACTTCCACTGTATTTACAGCAATGTATCCAAAAGTATTTGTAATGGAAATATAGTGGAAATAACTGAAAGCACTTTTTACTGTAGGTCGATACGCTACTTTTCATATAATATTATATTTCAACTTCTAATTATCTTTTCTCACTCATTTTCCTATGTGAACATGTTTGCTGAAGTACATTTTTACCCAAAACATACCCTTTAGATAAATTTTAAAATGTTTATTACATCGTTTGGAATGTAAACATTGAAAACCCAAAGTGAATTTTCAACATCACTTGGGATCTTTGAAGGCTGTACTATAAAACCTTTCTTGTAATTTGCACATTCATTCATCCTGCATTTGTTCAGTGCCTGTTATGTAGCAGGCATTGTTCTATTTCTGTCTTTGAATGAGCTTTCTTGTCAATTTCGTACTGTGAGCCAACTAATATTAGTAAGTGTCATACCATAATTGCTTTCCATGTGACTTTATTCTTTAAAGTTCATCTTTATAGTCGTCATATGGATCTTGTATAAAATAAATACTTATTTCCACATTCCCAGATAGTGAAGACTTGTGGATAGGTTTCCCAAAAATTTTTCATGGAAACTTTCATTATCCCTTTTCATGGTTATTAGTTCTTCGCAGTGAGACATTTGGCAACAATAAACATGACTAGCCTGAGGATTTATTATATTATTGCACTTTAGTTTCATTCGTTTGACAAATGCATTTCACATTTGACCGTACCCATTTATTTTTGCACCACATTAGCTAGTGTAAGAAACTGGTTTGAAAGCAACAATAACAATATCCCCCAAATTCAGAGTAAAACAATTTATTTAAAACTGAAAATGATAATGAAGGAAAGGGGTAAGAACTAGAATCATTTTGTTAGGAACATAATGCTTTAATCTATTATCAATACAGCATATACAGGTCCAGTCCTCAAAAATGTTAAATTTTTTAAACACAAAGTGTCACTGACATTTGCAAGAATATATGTATCACATAAGTGCAGACTAAATTTGTCTTTCTCTGGATAATATCAAAAGATGTTGAGACTAGCTACTGTTTCCTAGTGTTTTACGTCTGTAAGCATTACTTGGTGCTTCCTAATAACTGTTATATTTAACTGTTTCTGGAATCACATTAACCCATCTCAGATCTTTGAAGTGGACAGTATCAATTTGCTCATGGACGTGATATCAGTGACTTCCTTGTTCATCATATTCAGCTAAGAACTATACTTCTCAAATTTACCTATGTTAGATGAGTCCACTAACCATATAAATGTACTCTTGGTATAATAGCAATTACTTTTAAAAATTCACTTTTGATTTCTAGACTATTTTAAGTCTTGAAGTGTTAATGTGCTTGTTTAGTCAATTGTTAGAGTTCAGGAATAAAATACTAAGACCTAACAGAGTTTCTAACCAAGAAAAATCAGACTTAATGGCTTAAACAATAATAAAAAGGATGCATTTAAAATTTAAATTTAGGATAAACATACATTTAAAGGATGCATTTGAAGTTATAAAAAGATAAACATAAAGTTTAAATTTTCAGTGTCAGACATCAACTGTTGACAACCAAAAGTTAATATTCTTTGAGTTGTAGCTGCAGCTTCTTTACTGATACATTACTTCAAGTTGAATACTTCTGATAAAAATAAAAGACAATGGAAAAATTTTATTATGTATAGAACAAAATAGTTTAGCTTGGCATAACTATTTATATGGTCTAATCTTTTCATCTAGAGAAAAGTATAACTTCTAAATGGGAATGAAGTGTGAATCTTTTGGTTTTTCAGTGCTGAAATTGAACTCATATCTTCACACATAGTAGGCAAATTTGAATCTTTTTAATGAGAAAGGCAAAAGTCAATTTTGACTCCTACAATAAAATTTCACAATTTTTGGAATAGATAATATCAAGCAATTATTTTAACAGAAGATTTTGCAGGTAGAAAACCACACTTACATAAGCACTTAAATATGTTAAGTAATTAATTATATTACTCTGATGCACATTTACCAACAAAAACATAATTTTAAAATTATCAAATCTACTAAAATAATAGTTTGTATATTGCTCATATTTTCTCATCGTATTTGCTTTTGAATTCTTTATCAACACCAATTCACTCATCAAATTTTATTGAAAAATGTCACATTCAAGGGACAGCAGAGACTTAAGAACCCACTATGTTGCAGTCTCCAGCTTCCAGTTGACCTTCACCATGCCTTTCGTGGTTAATACCAATCTGTGTGATACATATCACTGCCCTAATTTTAAAAATGAGGAAAGTCAGACAGTGATGTTAAATCATCTGCCCAAAGCCAAAGAATAGTAATCCAATCAAACTGTAGGTTTACATTTGAGTAGGGTTTATCTTAAAGAAGTCAATATCTTATTTAATATTCATTAATAAAGTATGCCTCTACTATAATAGTACCATAAATATCATAAATAAAATCACTAGAAAAGCAAATGTGAGATGAAGGTCTTTTTCATGGCTCTGGAATTTGGAAAGACTTCTCAATTAATTGGAAATGAAGCTTATAAAACAGAAAAACATATAAAATGTACTAATTTTTCATAAATGAGAAAATAGAACAGAAAAATACTTCTGTGTCTTTCACATTATGTGTCTATCTTTCTATTTTCGAGCACCAAAACTATCTTTAAACTTTTAATAATTATCTTATCAAAAGATTTTCAGACTTTCACATTATTTGTCTCACTAACTTTCTGTTTTCCCTTCAAAGACTCTGTAAACATCAGAATATTACCATATTTGAGAGGCTTTGGCTGTGTCATGTACACATATACTTTAATAACATTAAGAGTATAGACTCCTTTGAACTTTGCAGAAATAGACACATATAAAGAAACTACCATATAACATTTTCTTTAAGATGATATCTAAAGATGATGAATTATATGAGTATCTGGATTTTGTAAGTGCCAAGTAGAAGTAAAACTACTATGTGAGCTAATTAGTAGGCAACTGAATCAAATTTGCATGCACACTTTTTAAAATGCAGTTCTAATCCACAATAAAAAAATTCAAGCAGAGTCATGAGTAAACATAATGCATTCACATTTTAAACACTATGTGCAGCAGAAAATTAAGCTAAATGTACAGTGTCTTTAACACCCGGTGAGGGGATAGTTTACTTGTAAATTTAAATGATGAAAGGTAAGGGGCCAGTAGGAACTCTCAGAAGAGTAAATTCTAGTCAGAGAACTTGCAGTTTTGAAAAAAGGGAAATGTTAAAGGAGATGTATGTAAGGAGCAGGTGGCAGAATGCTTGGAGAGAAACAAGATGATAAAGTGGATAGGTGAGTCTACCAATAAAGCATCAATGATTACTATATTTCTAAATTAATTTGTACTTATAGTTCAATGGTAATGTTCTAAGAATTTGAAAGGCAAAGTTCACTCTCTGTGCCTTTGTGTGCTATCTATTTAGGGGTTTTGGTCTGGTAGTTTATGTAAAATTAGAAACTTATGGTTTAAAGAAGACACCTGATAATATAAAAATGTCACAAAATTAAGATTTTTCTCATCTTTTATTGTTAGAACATTGCAGCAAAAACTTTACGGTTCTGGCTGAAAAGTATGACATCTCTGCATTCTTTGTATTGACAAAGATTCCTTAGATGATTCTGAACAACTGCTTGTCCATTACCTGAACTATAGCAAGACATCAGGCCACCTACTTTTTAGAGTGCTGGATAGCTTACCTGTGGATAGTCTAGTCTGGAATATTCTTAGGGATACAGTACACTGTGTAGTTGCTCAAACCTGACTTACAAGATACGTTGGTACGGAGGATGGGTCACAGTGAACTAGTGCTTAAGTTTATGATGGTTTCTTTGGAGAGTATATAACATTCTTACCTAATCAATTTTTCTTACTATACATATGGAAAGAGACAGCTGTTGAACACAAATGAATGTCTTTCTACCTTAAAAATTACACTGCAATTCATTAATGCTTTTGCATTGGTTAGAGTTCATTATTAATGCCTTCAGAAAGAACATTTTTTCACAGAAAAGATATTGCTTATCTTTTTAAAATGCCACTAAATGATTTAATATTTTAAAATGAAATTGAAGCTCTACTTAGAAATTGCAATATAATAAACTGTATTAAGTATAATTATAAGATAAGGAGAATGATACTTTTAAAAGTTTAGAATTTGAATTTTTAAATGAACTTATACCTATAATGTAGAATAGTGCCTAGTGTATATTAGATTGTCAGTAAGTGTATATTGAATAAAATGGCCTCAAACAATTTTAAAGACACAATTTGGTGAAGTGGGAGCAAAGGTATTATTAGCTTTATCTTCAAAAAACATAACTCTTTTGTGTCCTCACAATTTTGCGGATTAATAAACTAGAACTCTCTGCAAAAGATGCAGTGTTATACTTGTATCCTATCATCTTGGTTTTCTAATTAGTTTTATAAGAATTAATCAGATTTAAAATCAGTGCCACATTTCAGAGTCCAATAAATGGAAGACAGAAATTTCTCTTAAAGTGGTAAGTTTAACACTATATTCCTTTGTTTATTCCATCAAAATATTATATGAATTTAGTAATTATTTTCAGGGCAATTTATTAAATTGCTTTGTACCTGGAAGTCTTACCTACTTCCCTTTTTTATATCTTTAATCCTTAATTTAAAAGTAGTTGCATTTTAAGAAATTTACATCCAATGATTAAGCTATAGATTATTTTAAAATGCCATCCTGTGAAATGTTGACGAGCTTCTCAATAAGAAAATTTTCTTTGTCTTTGAAAATGTATTGAGATTATAGTACCAGCTAGTAAATAGAGTCAAATATTGTTAATCCAGATCCATTTAATAGGAGTTTGGGATTTAGAATCACTTCAAACTTTTTAAAATTCCACTTGATTTCATAAAATAGCTGTCATTTCTCAAAGATGGCAGAATTTTCTGATCTTTTCCTGGAAAACATTCAAGAAAAATATTTCATTTTTTACTCTTTAGACTGACTACTTTACATAGTCAAAGTAGAGAAAATTTAAATAATCTTTACAATCAGGGTCATTTACAAGTATTCTGGAAAGGAGAAAATATTCAATTAGAAACATGACTTTCATACTATCAAACACCAGAATTAACACGTTACTTTTTTAGTTGGAAAAAAAAGAAAATTATCCTATGTAGAGTTTTATTGGTCTAGTTGTAGAACAATGGAATTTGAAAGCTATAAAGACTCTTGATCTCCATGTTTGGTTTTCTTTTCCCCTCACTTCCCACATGAGTCCAAAATATCTCATATATAAGTCATTTTTACCACAATATTCTCTTAATGGACAAAGTAAACCTTAAATACTTTATCCAGTTTTACAAAGATCAGAGATGTGAAGTGGAATTCAAATTCAAACCTAGTTTACTTCTTTACTATGCTAGATTGTCTTTTTTTGTTGTTTGTTTTTTTTCCAGTACTAGGAATGAACTCACGACCTTGCGCTTGCCAGGCAGGCGCTGTGCGGCTGAGCTAAATCCCCAGCCCCTATGCTAGCTTGTCTTTTCCCTGTTACATTTTCATAAGGGTGGCAAGTGATTCAACCAAGATCACTATCAAACTGAGGAAGAGGCAAGCAAAGCCTATAAATTAGACAGCCTAATTTCTAAACATGCACTCTCAAAACTACATTATTACCATGTTTAAGAATGCAATTTACATATTATCATTCCTTACTTTTCATTTGAAAAGAGAGTCCCTGAGGCATCTGCTTAAGAAAGGTCTCCTAGGGAACTGGTTTCCCTGGATTCATTTCACTATACTTGGCAATCCTGGCACTCAGTGATTACCATGGTCCAAAGACACCTGACTACTGCTTCTACTGGTAGTAGAGCCCTACATCATCCATGTGTGGTTTTACTGGCATGCAGAATGCAATAATTATGAGGTTAAAGAGGCTGGAGGGAACAATGTGTGAAGTTGTGGGAAAGAAGCCAAAGGTGCAGTGGTTGACCCAAGGAAGTCAGAGATACTTAACAAGGAATATCTGCCAAGAAAAGCTGAACAAGATTCAGCCCAAGAGAGAGAGAGGCTTTGTGGCCTGCCACCAGCACAGCCACAGGTGTGGGGTGGTCCTAGCCCTCTGGAATTCACATCTTACCATCTGTGTCTTGGATGCAGGACATAAAGCTACAGTACTCGATGTCTTCCCTGCTGGGTGTTGGTCCTGTTCTATTCCTATTCTCTTCCATCCCCTATTTCTCTCTTTTGGAAGGGGAATTTTATTCTCTGGCACTGTATGCGTTGAGCATGCCTTGAGCCTCAGACTTTGACTTAGAGTTCTGAAAACTGCTGCAACCGTTGAGAGTTTTGGTGCAGGACTTGTGCATTTTAAATTGGATGTGAGCTAGCTGTCTCATATCAGGTGAAATAAATATTCATTAAATGAGACCAATGTTAAGCTTTCTCAGGATAGAGTGCTGGAAGCACACTGCAGCAGAAGGGGGCTTTGCAATTTCTGCCATAGGTGGAAGGAGGTTAAATTCTCGTGGGCCTGAACCCTTGTGATGCAGCTTACCCGAGCGACAGTCCCAGAACAGAAGCCCTCTTCATCCATGCAGCTTCAGCTTAGCAATGACTTGTGTACCATCCTTTCCATACAGAAACCAAAATCAGTAGCACCTTTTTCCCATACCACGTGCCCCTTAGTGCTCTATCACTTACTACACTACCAACTGTAATCACTGGCTTCCAATTCCATACTCTGCAGAGTTGCCTACTATTTATCCAGTAACTTCAGACCAGCCCTGGCATAGCAAAATCAGAGCATATCTCTACTCTCTGGTAGCTGAGTCATGCCTGCACTAACAACGTCTAAAACACTTTGAAGTTTATCTTTTCTTAGGTGCTCTTCCTCAGCCTATGGCACCATCATATCAAATTTTACCTTCTCCTTTAACACAATAAATAATTCTTATATTAAACTTGTCCTATTTAAACTACAGTATATCTATCTTTTGGTGGGACCATATATTATTATTTTGTTTGTTTGTTTGTTTTTCCGGTACCAGGAATCAAACTCACGACCTTGCACTTGCCAGGCAGGCACTGTGCCGCTGAGCTAAAAGCCCCAGCCCCGGGACCATATATTAATATAGATCAAAAACCCTGTGATGTATGAAAATATGTTTGTCATGCTCAGCTCTCCTTTATATAATGTGCAGAGCCTCTAAGGAACATTCCATAAACATTTGTGTTTTGCTTCATTTCTTGCAGTGCTGGTAATGGAACCCAAGGCCTTGTAAGTGCTAGATAAATGCTTTACCACAGAACTACATCTCCAGACCTTTATAAGTACTTTGAATAAACAAATGACACAGTTGGGTCCACACTGCATGGGTCAACAAACACTTGGGTTGTTTGGACTCATTAACACATGGATAGAATATAGTCTTCAATGCTTGTAAATATAAGACTTTGGACAGGTTAAATACTCGTAGAAGCTGTGACATATCTGTGAAAGGCCACCCAAATTCTGACTACTTCATCAGTACAGCCTGTGGCATGGTTTATATCAATGTTGCTAAAAGTCTCATGGGCTCACAGGTGGGATTGGGGGAGGTGGCTGGCTTATGGGGTGTGATACTCAGCAGTGGGTTAGTTTAGAGATGAGTTTATATGTAAATGAGACTGGGGAGGCATTGCCTATTTGGAGGAGCAGGTGACTGCCAGTGTGGTCTGGTGGGGTCTATCTCCCTCCCTCAACCCTTGATTGCTCTCTGCTTGCTGCCACCATGCCACAAGCTGCTTCTCCTCTGTCCTGCCCCTCTGCTGCGCTGCCCTGCATTGGCACCAGCTGAGACCATGGACTAAAACCTCTACAAACAGAGTCACAGTAAACCTATCCTCCTTACAGTTGTGGGTGTTGAGTATTGTGTCTCAACAACAAGAAAGTAACTAAGACAGCCTGCCTTCCACTATGGAAAAAAAAAATGCCAAAAGCTTTCCTTTTTAGCTCTCAGGAAACTACACTATGGCCATATTCATTCATTCACTCATTCAATATGTAATTAAGGGAAGTTATTCTAGGTACCTAACTATTGAATTCCCTGCATTCCTGAACATAAACTTCAGCAGTGGGTATGAAGGGAAACTAAAGCGCTCTAAATAAAAATGATACCCTTTTGGTCCACTGAATCTGAAAGAAAGCCTATTTAGGGCTATTGAAATAAATTTTCTTCCATAATAGAGCCAAGCCCTTTAAAATCTCATCTTCATTGTCATTTAATTCCATTATAGAGTACTATTTCTCTAATATCTCACAAACTTACTTTAACACGTGCAACCATTTATTAGTCTAAATTTTATACACACAGTAAGGAGAGACCCCCACAGAATGTTAATGGAAGTGATTTTCCTTGTTTTGTAAATGACATTATCTACTGAAAAATAAAGCGATATGAACATATGACATAGAAGTGAAGCCACAATGGTTTATATATTCATCTATATTTACCTTAGTGTATTATATGTTAAGCACATACAAAAAATTTTCTTTACTTAATATTCTGTAAGAGTACTTTTTACATTAGAGGCAAGCTTGAGGTCATGATGTACAGTTTATATAGTAACCCAGAGACATACCTAATGATATTTAAATCTCAAGTTTTCTCATTGTAGGATTATCCATTCAGCTAAATACAAGTTAGATATTAATATATATGTGTCCATATATATCATGAATATGCAACCTGCCAATAATTCTTGATTTGCAAATTTAAAATTACAATATTGGACTGTGCTTAGCCTACTTGGAATAAACCCTAATGATCAGTTTTGGAATGTATCATAACTCATGAACAGTTTAGATATGCTTAAGGAAAAGTTTAATGTGGAGCTGACCATTCACTATTGCAGAGATAATTGTAGCTTCCTAATTTCTGAATATCCAGAAAATGTAGATATGTAAGAGACAGCTGCCTGCAGTGGGCATGAACTAATGATAAGAAATACATTATTTTCTACTCTGCTCTTTTATCAACTAATCCATATACTTCAGTACTTGGAAGAATAAAAAGCAATACATCTTTGAGTCTGGATTAAGGAAAGACTGTCTTAAATTGTTGTATTTATTTGTTAATATTTTTAAATGAAAGGTAAATCATTAAATTGTTGAGGTTTATTTATAATAGTTGCCAAAACTTAATAAATTAGAAAAGATTATGTTAGATAATTTATAAATCGTTCTTATAATGAAAATTTATTGTGATGTGTATCTTAAGTGTTAAATGGAAAAATTGATAGAGCAAAACAAATTAATTTAGCAAAATCAAATATTTTGCCTGAATATTATCTAAATTAGGAAATCTGGCACATATGTTTTGCAAAAGGAGAGAACATTTAGGAAGCTCTAAGAAAAGACTGCTTGAGAAGGTTGGCATGCTAAAAGTATATTGTTCCTTTTTCTTTAACACACTAAGGGAAGACCATTGTACTTTGTGGTTATTTTAAAATTCTTCAGCAGGAGCATAAAACAACAAACAATGAAAACAACAGATGCTGTTCTTTAAAGCCTTACAATATGCTAGGTGACATGTCACATGCTTTACATATATTTTTACTAATTTCTTCCTCACTAATAACCTATTTAAGATTGAATAATTTACCAAAGTCATTCTGATGTAGCCAGAGGCACAGGACAGACAAACTTCTGGGACCTTAACCTATTACTCATTGAAAGCACAATTTATTTTCTTTTGAGGCAGTCAAGACTTACAAATTGATTTTGCTTACACAACAACATCAACAAAAGTACCAAATAGGTAACTAAGACAACCAGTAGGTAACTAAAAGCAGAATGACCTTAACCATTTGTGAATCTCTCTTTTATTTCAAAAACTTTAGGTCAAATCCCTTCTCAGCCCTGCGTATAGGCATGTAAATCACTTAGGGAGTGTCTTTTTAAAAGCTATCAACACAATATTGATTAGTCCTAAATTTCCACAGTTTATCTCATCTCTCAAGACTGAAGACATTAAGACAAGATATTTACAGAGATATTCAAGTACCAATGAGTGCTCAGACACGTCCAGTCACAGCCCCAAAACTGTAGTCACCTTAATGTCAGTAGAGACTCCATAAGACAGAGTGCTCCGAGCAGGAATAATCAATTCATGAGACTGAATTTCCCCTCAAATGATAGGCACTTCTGAAGCCATTTTGCAGAACTATAACTGAAATAATGATTACCCAGTTCCTAGACAACCCCAGCTAATCCATAAAGATTCAGACTGATCCTTTTCATCAGAGCTAGGCCCCCTTCAGCTCCTAAAGCTACAATCCTTTCCATATTTTCTCTTATTTTCTAATTCTAATAAGTTTGCCTATGCATCTCCTTGACATGTCCTAAAACTCTTTTGCTCTGATAATGAGTCAAGAACCTACTCCGTGGAGCAAGTTAATGTCCCCATCACCTCTTTGAGGAAACCTCTTCAGACACCATCAGGTGACAATATGACATATATGATATGCAACTGGCGAGTTAAGCCTGAGTTTATCTGATTCTAAAGTATACATGTTACAGTACTGCAGGAACTCTGAAAGAGAAATATCTAGAAAAGTTCAAAGGCTCAAAGAAAGTTTTACAGCCACAGCCCATAAACTACTCTGGAGATTTGGCTTGCAAAACAAAAAGAAATATTTAAGTTTAACAAGGTGACAAGTTTTGAGACAGAAAAAGCTGGAGGAAAAAGAGCTTTCAAAATATCAAAGCTATAAGTAGTTGGCCCAGGGCCAGGAAGGCCTAAGATCCAAAAACTTTAAAGGTTAAAAGATTTCTATACAATAATAGGGTGAGCCAAGTATTTTGGTTAAGCAAAATATATAAGTAGGTTTCTCAAAAAGGAAACCAGTTACATAATGTGCCTACATACTAGAGATGTCAGTATCTTAAATCCACTGATTACTTTTTTATAGCCATGTGTAGGTGGTGATTATAAAGAACACTTATTAATCACTTCTTTTGTTCCAGCTATTACTCTAAATGTTTCACATTTGATCTTAACAACAACTCTACCAGGCAGGTACTTCCATTATCACTTCCATTTTAAGAACTATACTGGCCCTGTGATATAGCTCAGTGGCACAGTGCCTGCCCGCTAAGAGCAAGGTCCTGAGTTCGATTCTCAGTACCAAAAAAAAAAAAAGTTATGATTAATATCAGAACTCACACTTCATTAGTATTATATTGAGCTGATGTCACAGGTTGGTAATCATCATAATTAAGTAGTATTTTATTTATAATAATTTTCTTGCTTAAGGAAACTATTTTTAAAATTGGCTTATTTTAAATGGTCACTTAGTACACATAGAAACTTGTGGTTTCTATGTAAAACCACACATTGGTTTGTCACTGTAAATAGTGACAATCAAGTAGAATTAAATACTGTGAAAATATCATTACTTCAATTTCTTAGGATGCTAAGGAATGAGTTCTAATGATCTTATATTCTCTAAGATCTGTGACTCAATGTAATGCAAAGGAAAGAGGAAATATACTTCAGGACAGTTGCTCATTTATTGAACTACTTGTGATTTAACACCCAAGTGATATGTTATGAAAACACATTTTGATACTCTTTACAGTGATAAAGGAATTTTTTTCTTTTTTTATGTAAAAATAAACAATACCTACAGTTCTTCAAACATATATATATATATGTTTATAGTACTCATAAAATGGATAGCATTATTCACTGGTATATGTGACACAAGTTCATTCTTTCCGAAATATGCAAAATTGAAGTCATTAGCACATTATAACAATACCTTTGAAGATTCTTTGCATCAATATCTTTATTTAAGTAAGTAAACCTAAAATATTTCTGTGTTAACCATGTAGAGCAACCTTCCAATAGTTGCTTCCAATGGTTGGAAGCCTTGGAACCTTCCAACAGTTCCAATAGTTTAGTTTATAGACTGAATTCTATAAACAGGAAAGGAAAATTGAAGCACTTAGTACTTTAAGACATTGAAAATAGTTCAAAATTAGATATATTAAAATTATTATGTCAAAAAAGCCAATTAGAACTTATCATACTGAACTTGCACATATTAATGAAATTAAACAATTGTAATTTGATGAAGCCTGAGTACTTGTATGAAATGTGTTTTGACATCTTGATTTTCTGAAAAGCTCTATCTCGATCACTATAATTTTCACATTCAGTAAAATGCTGATTTTGTATAAATTTGACAGTAACATCACTGAGTAATAAAACTTTTTCAAGAATAACTGAACAATTACAATGAAATATACATTTATCTGATGACTTTTGAGTTTCACTGTACTTTGGGAAAATTACAAAAGTTATCAAGAAATTTATTATAGTGTTGTATTATAACATTCTAGGAGATATTCTGAAGTCTCTAGTATGTAAACTAAATGAAGACTTTGAAAAAATAGTTCTAGTCCCCTGAAATACAAGACACAGATATTTTTAAAAATCTTATATTTTTCATGATTCATAACTGCAATGAGATTTTGTTGAAACAAATTTCGTTGAAACATATAACTATCTTCTCTACAAATGTGAAGTTATAGGTTTATGTGGTAGGTTTATGAATATAAATTTATCATTTATAAGCATAACTACCATGTATCCGGTGGAAATACTTTTTATACCATGTTTTTGCCACATTGTACTATCTGCTACATTTAAATAAATTTCCTTTAAAAATTACATCACATACAATATCTATTGCTCACAGATACCAAGGCAAATTACTTTAGTATATAAATTCAACATTTTGAAATTATTCTACAATTTCTTCTAGAAATAAAGGATCAAAGAATTTAATATGAGCCACAGAGTAGAAGAAGGACAGGGGACACTAAACCACAGAATACAATTAAATAAAAAACTGATGGTGTTAATTTTAGAAATAATTTAATTTTGGTTATACCAAAGAAGACATTTAAAGAAAGAGAAAAATTCAGATGTACATTTTCGGGCAGCTCTGGTTGCTGGTATCCTACCCCCTATCTGTAAAAGAATGCTTGTTGGCATTAGGTTCCATCAATTCATTTGTGATTTCTAAATTAATTCTGAAGGAAACCACAACTTACTTGAAGATCCCGCTGAGTGTCTGTGTGCCTGACTCTTTTTTTCTCTGTTCACAGACAAATCACTTCCACTGGTCATGGAAAAAAGGTCTAAATCCGTGTCTTCTCTGCTTACAAGTCTTGCCTGCGAGCAATGGGAGAGAATGTATACAATCATGAAACAAAATATGGCATTTTCTGAATGCAGTTCACATTACCCCAAATAAATAAACAGGCTCTGTCAAACAACCTTCTTCAAAATGATACCACAATCCTTTATTGCTGCCCAGGCAGAACAAATGCACTATGTCAAAGCATTTTTTTGCAAATAAGAGCCGATTTTAAAATTGAGGTTTGCTATTTGAGTCTGTACAACAAAAGAAAACATTTTAGTACAGTAATTTTGATGAAAATCAGTCTTAAAAGCAGCTGGTAAGATTTTAAACAGTTTAACATCACTTACTTACCAAGTATATTATTTAATTCTTAACTGAATGCTAGAAATGTTATATTACATTATTTCCTGCAATATTTATGTTTTGCCACTTATAAGCATTAGTCTTATTAACAAAATTCCCTGAAATGCCTTTCATCCCATGATCATGTGCCACAGTCATATGATACCTACTCTTTATTACAACTATTATCAATATCAAATATTACATACTAAGTTTGATTTCTGAGATAAATGCAATTACACAGAAATTGTATGATATATTATTTCAAGAATGTAAGGACCTGATTCTTCTAAAATTACCTTTGAACTTTTATTCCTATCTTAGACTGAACCTAAAAGGCAAAAGAATTATTTCTTACCTAAAAGATCTTGTTTTACAGAGTGTCTAATGTCATTAAGTAAGGATTTATCATAGTTCAGCTCGGAAGGGGGTGGGTGTGTGCCATGATGCAAAGGAAAACAGCTTCTAAGTGCTGGGATTTAACCCAAACCATAGTATGCTTGAAATCCTGTGAAAAAGCATTGTCCATAATGTTTGATGTGAGGAAACTTAAATTGAGTGAAAAAAAGACATAAGAACACCACTGCGGTTAAAAACAAGCTCCATATGGTGAGTTACAAAGACTGAAAGAGCCACACATGTACACAAATGAGTGAATGTATTCATATCTCCCCAATTTCTTTATCCTTTGACAAAATTCTGTGTGTTCGTCATACACAAGGTGATGCTTTGAAATTTGTACCTACTTCAGAATGGAAAGACAATTACCACGTGTATGGCTTCACATATCATTTTTAAACACTTGCTATTGTTGAATTTAGAATAGAAGCCGTACTATAACGTCAGGTATTCTTTTTCTGAAACTGGCTAAGTGAAAATGACTGCATGTTTTAGAAATCTCTGTAGAAAACTGTTTAAAATGAAATAAATAAAAATTGGCCAATTTATGCTTGTGATTTGCGTGAAGTATGTGACACTCTTTCTGGAATTTATTTCAATCAATATATAAGAGTGTAAGTCTAAAATTCTGATTAGAATGGTTCAATCAATACTAACACTTAATAACCAGGTAAAAATCAAGGGGAAATACCAAAGCAATACTGTACAGGTAAGACGAAATAAGTGAAAAGGAAAAACATGTTAACCATATAGGGGAACCTAGGTTGCCCAAAATGTTTAGCTACTATGTCTCAATATTTTAAAATGAGATTTCATTTTTGGACATAATTTTACTGCACCTATTTGAAATGTAGAAATCCCAACTGCCCTGAAATAAAATAATACATACATGTCAAGAAAATATCTGTGAATAAAGACCTTCCAGATATTTTAAAAACATCTAAATCATTACTATCCTGACTATTCCTTCCAAATAATAAATGATTGATTGCAGGCAGGGACTGTGGTTTGTGCCTGTAATCCCAGGACTTAGGAGGCTGAGACAGGATTGTGAGTTTTAAGCCAGCCTAGCCTATATAGTGAGACTCTAACTCAAACAACCAAAAAAGTTATCAATTTCTAATTACACAAGGAATCAAATTAAAATTAAAATTTAATAGGAAAATATGATTTCATAATGGTGCCATCTATGAGCTTAAATAGAAACTTAGAAATTTCATAAGCCAGTTATTATGTCAGTATATCTCATATGCTTTAATATTTATATTTTATTTCTGAAAATTTTGTCTTTCAATATAACATCATTCTTCCTTTTATTGTAAGCAGAGAAATTGTAAAGAAAATATGTTTTGTCTTCTATACTATGCAAAGTCAATACACAGATATTCTGAAATACTCTGCTACATAAAACAGCACAGTACTTACATATAACCCACACAAACTCTCCTTTACATCATCTCTAGATCACATAGGGTAACTAACGCAATGTAAATGCTACAAGAAGTGTTCAAAATATACAGTGACTATGTAGTAAAACATTGATTACAACAAGAGACACATAACCAATAATTCTCCATATTTTTCAGTCATACCTGATGTAGTTAAATAGTTATTATATTGAATTATGAAGAAAACAATAACAAAGAAAAAAAAACTCCTGTGCAGACTTTTTTTTAGTATTTACATTCGTGTTTGTTTGAATCAGCAAACACAGAAGCCAAGAATATGAATGGCTCCTTGTATTTCAGAATGAAATAGGGTGTATGAGCCAGCTGGGACTACACAGTAAGTTCAAGGCCAGCCTGAAATACATAGCAAAACCCTGACTCAAAAAACAAAAAACTAAAAAGAAGAAAAAAAAAGATTACCTGTTTAGTAAAAAATAAGCAGTTCTTCCTTCTTTTTTCATAAAATTTTAATAAATAATTGTTTAAAAATTTTGTGACTTTGGAAGCAAACAAATATTAAATCCAATAGTTTACAAACAAGTGTGAATGTATTGTTGCCAAGATTTTTTCAAGAAAAGAGAAATCAAATGTTAGAAAGATGAAGTCCTAACCTACCTTACAGTTTTTAAGTACATAGTCTAAAGGTTTGCCTCAAAACAAGGCTTCAGCCAACAGCAGACTAAATATAAGACTGTGGTCCCAGAAGATTATAATGGAGCTGGAATTTTTTTTACTGCCTAGTGGTGTCATTGCTATGCTAACATCCTAGCACACTGCATTACTTGTGTGTTTGTGGTGACCCTGGTCTAAGTAGATATACTGAACAGTAAGTGGAATAAAAGTATAACATCAAATTAAACACAGTACATATACTTGAAAATAAGACTATAATAATTTAATTAGGTGGTTTACATATTTGCTATAGTATACATTAATTATTTTAGAGTGTACTACTTCTATTTACAAAAGCTTACAGTAAGACAGTATGTCATGTATACCAACATCAGATTCACAGATTACATTTTATTGTATCTCTCGAATATATCATCAAGTGATCAGGCCAAGAGATTGATTTATGCCATCAAGGTTTTCATAAATGTACTCTATAATATCTGCATGATTAATCAATGACATTTCTCAGAATTGAGAACACAACGTTCAGTGAAATCAAACACGTTTAAGTTTAAATATTGAATGGTTTCTTCTTTTTTTTTTTTGTACCAGAAATTGAACTCATGACTTAGTGCTTGCCTGGCCAGCGCTGTGCCACTGAGCTATCTCCCCAGCCCCTGAACGGTGTGTTTGTGTGACATAAAGTATAAATAAATAGCAAAATAAAAGATAAATAACAGGAGGTAAGGAGATGTTTTTCAAATGGAAAGGGAAATAAGACATGGAGAAGAGAGGAAAATAGGATTTGAAAAGAGAAGATTATAGAAAAAAATAGAAATAGAGATTTTGAAAATGGGAAAGGGAACAAGAGTTGGAGGGAGCAGGAAGGGATAAGAGTAGAAAGGGACATAAAGGCATTAAGATGTGTCATGTACACATACAAACTACCCAGGGTACTTGTAACCATTATGTACCACAAGCATGTACTGATAAAAAATTAAGAAAAAAAGTCACTGCTAACTGACAGACAACTATTATTTGCAAATGAATATACATGATACCCTCTTTCTGTAAGTTGCTTTTTTGACTATAGCTTCCAACTGTGAGGTCCAATTTAATTTACTATAACAGTTTCAATAATTTGCAAATTATGGCAGAATTATTATATGCTTTAAGCACACCATGTCATCATTTATACTATTTCTAGACATAGGGGTGACTCAAAACTCCTTTCACTGGGTTTGCAGAGAAGAGGTATACATAGCCTCCATTGATAATATATTCTCAACACTGCACAAATGCCTTTTCTTACACAATAAGGCAGAGGCCTCATTTGTACTTAAATGTTTAGAAGATATACAGATATAATTTACATGAAATGAAACGCACAGACCTTAAACATGAAATTTAATTATTTTCAAACTTTTTATTTTGTAATTTTAGAACTTAAATTCCCCATGGAAGTTACAAATTAAGATGTCTTATGTACATGCATTGACTCCCCAGGAGGAATATAATCATCATATACTAATAAGAAAATTGAAAACGTTACCAAAAATAGTATTGAACATTATAATACTGAACATTACCTCTGTACCCTGAACTCAGCTTGCCCCAGTGAGAAAATTTCACATGAGAAAAGTAACTAAAAAACCAGGAAATTGATACTGGGAATAATACTATTCTTAAAATAAAAACCTCCTTAGGATTTCACCAGATTTTACATATTTTACAAAAATTTTCATTTGTAGTTGTGTGAGATTTTATTATGCGTATGATTCATGTAACTATCACCACAGTCAGGATAGAGAATGGTTCTACCTTCCCAAAGAAACTCCTTTATTTCCCTCTGTCGTCCAACTATCTCCCCACAACCACTGTAACCGCTGACGTTCTCCCTGTCACCAGAACTATGTGGCTTTGAGATTGTTACATGAAGAAAATCATACAGTATAGAACATTTCAAGATTGGCTACTTTTCCTCAGTATAGTATTCTTATGATCCATGGAACTCTTTCTGCATACTACTATTTATTCCTTTTTGTAAAATAACCATTGTATGTATGTACCACTATTTGTTTATTCGTTCCAATGGCATGAGAGTTTGTTTTAAGTTTTGGACTATTACAAGTAAGATGGTTATGAACATTTGGTGCTGTCAAGATTTTTAGTGGAAGTTAATTTCTCTAAGAAGAGTGCAAATAATTTTGTACAAAATACCAAAGCACTAAAAGAGGGACAGGATAACCTTTTCAATAAATGGCACTGAACAAGTAGATTTCCTCCTGAAAATAATGAACCTAGATTCCTAGATATCTATTTCACACTATACACAAAAATGCATTTAAAATAAATTATGGACCTAAATGGAAAAGGTAACATCGTAAATATTAAGATATCTCCATAAACCTGTGCTAGACAAAGAGAACACAGAAAACATAGACTAGAAAAAGAAAAATTAAGGATAATAGTAAATTTTACTTCAAATTTAAAAGGATTTCAGTTTCTTTTCAGAAAAAATGATTTAGAAAATGAAAATTCCATCAATCTAGGAGAGAAACCATATTCTCTTTTTCTTTCATAACACATGATTTCATCTCTTATTGTATCCAGTCTAGCCCTACATGTAAATGACTTTTTAAAAAGTATGTGGAATTATAGGTGATTGATTTGCGTACTCATCTAACCTTTAGAATATTCGGTTACTTTTGTTTTACAACTTTGCTTTCCTTTTTTTTTTTCCGGCACCAGGAATTGAACTCACGATGTCGTGCTTGCCAGGTAGGCGCTGTGCCGCTGAGCTAAATCCCCAGCCCTTTTTTCTTTCCTTTCAGTTTGGGTGTAATTCATAGATCTTCTTCTTCTTCTTAGACTAAAGCAACAGTTGCACTCAGCTGTTTTCATTTTCCTCTTAGCTGTGCCTTGGTTCCACCTTGGAAATCACCCATTTCTCCTCTCCTGGCACAGATGGAAGCGAGTGAGCGCTCTACTTCCCTAATCCAGCAACACGCCTGCTCCAGGCCTTCGTCTTGACCTAAGTCAGCAGTCTCTTCCCCTGCCCCTACACACAGGGAAAACCCATCTGCACGTTTCTGCTCCCCTCCAATTTGCCTTGCTTTTGTGTTCAGTTATAGCTTTTCAATGTGAAAAGGGACACTTATTTTTGCTATATACTTATATGTGAAATATAGAAGGTTATGGCAAAAGAGGATTAATGGCAGGGGATTAAGCTCATAGAACCATTTCTGATAGTAATATAATAGATTTTAATTCATTTTTAGATGTGACATGGTTAAATATTTCTTTTATCATGGCATTCCTTGGTAATTTGTTTTCTCCATTGTTTTTGCCAAAGTGGGCCCTGATCAATCTGTGCCAAAGCAGTCAATAACATGTAGGAAGTTAATAGCCTGAAAAAACATTTTTCCTTGGGTAATCTGCATGCTACTCTCTCAGAGGGATCTGTATTAAAATGCAAGAAAATAGTTGATGAGTTGTTATTTGAATCTATACATATTATATATTTTTATAAATATGTAAGTTTTACCTAGTTGTTACCCTATTTTTTTTTATTTTTGCGCTTCCTGGAAAACTCCCTGACGAAACGTTCATAAAAATGATTAATATAACTGCACTGGACACTATAAGATAATATACATTATCTTTATTTGAAATTTTACATGGCATAGTAAATGATAATAAAATTCCTTGGCAAATGTGGACTCTGAGCACGGGGATACTAGTTGTTTGGTGTAAATGGAAGGTGTCATAATGTTTGAATCACCTGCCAAAGAAGCTATACACGTTTTTCACTGTTCAGAGGACAAAATTTTCATTTTGCGGGGTCCATTCTTTTCTAGGCCTTATACTGGCTATTAGTTTGGCTTCCATAGTTTTCTTTTGAATAGCACTGGATACAATTGAATGTAGCAATACACATTCAGTGCTATTATCTAGAGTTTAGAGTTTGGTTTTCTTTGAAGCTCCAATTATTCACCTTTTAGAGTATTAGTTCACTCTATAATACTCGGAGTGATGAAGCTCACAGTTACTTGTTATTTTTTATACAGTTTGATTTTCTGAGTTGTGAGGATGCCCTGCTGTTTCCCCAGACCCCACAGATTCTACTTTTTTAACATTTTTGAGAAATGCATGTCACTAAGCAGTTTCCATCTGGATTAATTTTATTTCAAAATGGTAGTATGCTAATACTTTTATGTGTCAAATAAAGCTAATATTCTTCAGCAATGTCGTGTTGTAAATTTATAAATCAAGAAAACCTGTTATTTTATCCTGTGATGATATTTTGAAGTTACTCCCAAATAGAGTCATGATATTTTCATAGTTTAAATTAATTATGAGCATATTTATAATATCATTTATTGAGCACTGGTATCTGTAACATTTTTCTACAACTTTAAATTTATTTCTTACCACAAGTTGAACTCTTCCACCGTTAAGAACATCTGGATCTAACTCAGGCAAGAAGTGACTGCCACACCGTGACAAAAAGAAAAAAGATATTACAATATAAATGTGTGGGAAGATAGCAAAGAAATGTCCAAGTGAAAACTTTGGGCAATATCATCATTTATAAAATGGAAATAAAAGCCTTTTAAATTAGGTCTATGTGAAGATAAATACTAATTTACATCTTTCCATTGTTACTCTAAAATTTCAATTTCTACATGACTTTAATACTGCCCTTCTTTGACAAATAAAAACACATCAAATTGCAAGGATGTGAAGATATTAATAGCAATAGTTGGTAAATTATAAAAAAAATTTCAATATTTTGTATACATTTATTTGCATACAGTACTAAAATTGTCTTTTGAGGAAAATGAAGCTTCCTATTTAAAAAAACCTCTAGTGTATTTAGTGCATTAAACTAATGCTTAAGGAATGATCATGTAACTAGCATAGACAAAAGTATTTGCACAATTTTTCTTAAAATATCCCTTTAGCTAGTTATTATTATTTTCCAAACACAAATCACATGACTAATTGTTTATTGTTTTACATACTTAAGTACAGATTATTTTTTAGCGATATTATTAAACATTAAAACATATCTAAAATTTATTCTGAAATACTTTGCTTCTACTTTTCTGTGTATTAAACCTATATTAATGTTCTTATATTTGGCTACTATAGACATTAAGTGATGGATTCTGTTCCATTTATTTACAGTTATAAGGATGCTATTATAAGAATTAAGTTAAATTTATTAGTATCAACATAAAAGAATTTCCATTAACTTAAAGACCTGAAAATAAAATTCACCTAATATTTGTGGCTTTATAATATTTCCTTTGTTCACAAAAAATTTTGCACAACTCCAATTACAAAATGTCTTAATTTCATTTTAATTTATGCTTTCATATAATTTCCATATTGAAAGGAACTGAATGGATAGATATCATCATATATGGAAGTTCAATTCATATATGTTAAAAAGAACTAAACTATAATTTTAACTTCCAAATTTATAAATGATAACATAAATAAAATACAAACAACAATATATGACACTTACAAACATTTAATGTATACCATACTTTCATTTTCCACATTCTAATGTAGAATAATTTGTGAAGGTTAATTGTTGGTATTAAGCATTATGGAATAGAGTTCTTCCTAAACATTTTATGGTGAAATATATAAGGGGCGATTAAACCTTTTTATATGAAAGGCCTGTTTATAACCTAGCATATTGGCCTGTGGCTATAAAGTCATGTTTGTGTTAGCACAATTAACCTAGGTTTCACTTTTCAAGATGTGTTTACAATACAAAAATCTAATTTAAAGGAAATGATCTCACCTTTTCATATTTCTGGAACTAGCTGTTTCATGAACCCCAACCTGTGTGTGAAGCCACTGGTAAGTGTATGCTTTGCTCCGTTCCCATTTTTCATTTGCAGTGGTGTCTTTGTAGATTAAGTCTTCTTCCTTACCTGAGGAAAACACATAGGAAGGTTGTTATTTAAGGAAATAAACTCTGGCCATACAGCTCAGTTAAGACTAACAATTTCATTGTAAGCATGAAAAAATTACCCATTGGTGATGACTAAATCATCTGTAAGAAAAACAATTTAAGGCATTTAATAATTAAATATTTTTCCTGCTTGAGTTTTCAACCCGTGTTTTGAAAAATAAAGGAAATGTTTTATGAAACCGCCATTTAAAAAATCTGTGTTTTAATTCAAAAAGTTGATTATTTTTGTTCAACAATGAAATTCTAATACTAAAAGAATATGTTTGCCGTCAAATCCTTGTAGGCTTATTTTCAAGTCTAGCTGTTCTTTCCCCAACACCCCCAATATATGGGAATTGTAGATTATATTGAGCATATTTGAAACAGATTTTTAAATGTGTCTAAAACTGACCTTGGCTTGTGCAAGCTAATATAACATTTTAAGCCAGGAATGTAGTTCATGAGGTTTGAAGAAATCTATGTTCACTGTAGAGTAACTATTTCAAGGATAGAGAAGACATAATAGTAAACATGAATATGGAAAAGAAGTGAGATGAGAAGTTATATCAGACGAGAAGTTAATCATAAAAAGGCTAACAAGTAGAAAAATTAATAAATGGTTTTTGAAAATAGAAAAGAAAAATTTAAGCTTTACATCCAAATAACAAAAATTACTACACACACACGCACACGCACACACACACTCTCCATTTGGGAGTCGTCTTTCTTGGCTCTATGACCATATTTAGGGACTTGTTAACTCTGTAAGCCTGGGTCGCTGCACATCACAGGGAGGTATATACCTCTTGAAAACTAACTCATGGTAGTTAAATACATAAAAATGGTTTAAATCCTGAATTTTAAAAATTTTGGCCAATTTGTTTGGAATATTATTTCACTGTAGATGTTTGTAGGAAATCAGCATATTGCAAATTACTTGGGAAGAAATGAAGCCTGTCTAAAGCATGTTTTGAATGCATAGTGTATGTGCACGTATACACTCCTACATGTATGTTGAGTTAAAACTGTGTCATTGTGAACATGCTGAGAATAGTACATCTAAAACATCTTTTCCCCCTAATTAATCAGTGAGATAACTAGTTTTCAATTCAAAGAGATGCTGTCAATTTTTCTCTTTTTTGGGGGAGGGTGTCTTTTTGAGACAGGGTCTTGCTCTGCAGTTTAGGCTGACCTTGTGTTCACTTTACAAAGCCCAGACTGATCTCAAACTCTCAACGATCCTCCTGCCTCAGCCTCCCAAGTGCTAGGATTACATGCATGTGCCACCATGCCCGGCAATGTTGTCAATTTTTAGGAAAGTTAAAACACTTTGCTTTCTTAAACTCTAAGTTACATTTACTTTTTACTTTTTATACCACCTTGTTTCAAAAGTGGCCACAACCCTTGTGTGCTGAGCGTAAGTCAACTCTTGCATGGCTGACATAGAGGAACAATTATAGGACAGAGAAACAATTACTTCACATGCCTGGTCTGACCACTGAATCCATGAGCAGATGTGGTTCTGATAAATAGCCTCCTAGGTATATAGAAAGGAAGTTACGTAGTCAAAGGGAAGATTGGAGTTGCCACATTCAGTTATTGCACGGCATTAAGATCCCCCTCGGCAGAGTCACATCTACTTCCTGTTTTGCTTAACCAGACTCTATGCTGAACTCAGTAGTACAATGACAGAAAAACCAAGGACTCTGTGACTCTGGGGATCAATTGAGCCCTCTGTGTATAGAATCCAGCACTAACAAGTGCCCCATCAGTTAAAATAAACATAACTCTCGGATTTCTGATTTTTAAAACAGTAACATATACTTACAATCGTTATTCTTATTTTTAACTTAATTTTATTGGTACAGTTTAGAAATGCATAATGATCACATTCATCACAAGGAATTTGTACCTCTACATGATATACTTTTGATTCCCTCTTTCCGATTCCCCTCCCCTAACTTCAACCCCCTTCCACTCCTTATTTACAAAAGCGTTGCTTCCATTTTGTCTTTCTTTTCTCATTTTTTCTTTTCCCTTCCTTCTTTTCCCCCTCCCCCTCGCTATTTTCCCTTCCCAGTTGAACCATTTTTTCCTATTTCACAATATCTATTACATGTGTTGGTCCTGTTGCACTTTCAGTTTCTCACATTGGTGAGACAATGTGATATTTACATGTCTGTCCAATTTATTTCAACTAAGAGTATGGTCTCAAGGCTCAACCATTTACCTAGAAATTTTTTAAGTTTATCTTTCTTTATGCCTGATTAGTACTCCACTATATATTTTTTAAAAACCCACATCTTCTTTTTCCATTTATCGGTTATTTGGCATTTGGGCTGTTTCCAAGATTTAGCTATTACAAACTGTCCTACTATAAATATAGGTGTGCATATATCACTGTGATATGATGCTTTTAATTGTTTTGGGAAGAAATTATTCCAAGCATACTATCAGACCATAGTGCAATAATTGAAACTATAAAAACTCCATACATGCATGGAAATTAAATAACACCCTCCAGAACAACCAATAGGTCACAGATGCAATTAAAGAACAAATTAAACATTATCTACAATTAAATGATGATGCCGATACATTACACTGGAACCTACTGGATACAATGAAAGAAGTCTTTAGAGGAAGATTTATAGTGGTAAACTCTCAGGAAAATGGAGTGAGCTCAAATAAACAACCTAATATTGAACCTCAAACTTCTAGACAAAAAACAAATCAAGCCCAGATCTTCTACAAGGGGGGAAATTATAAAGATCAGAGCAGAAATTAATTGAGACTAAGAAAATAATACAAAGAATCAATGAATTAGAAAGTTGGTTCTTTGAATAAACCCTTAGCTGACCTTAGCAAAAAAATGGGAAGAAAAGACTCAAATCCACTCAATTAGGAATGAAAAGGGTGAAGTCAAAATAGATTCCATAGAAATCCAGAAGACCATCAATACCTACTTAGAGAACCTGTTTCCTAATAAGACAAAAAACATGGAAGAAATGGACAGATTCCTAGATACATATGAATTACCAAAGCTGAGCCAAAAAGATATAAAAATTCTAAACAACCCAGGATCAGTCAAGGAAATTGAAGACGCCATTACAATCTTACCAACAAAGGTAAGTCCAAGACCTGACGCATTTCTTCAGAATTCTTGCTGAATTCTGCAAGAAATTTACAGAAGATCTAATGCCATTATGCCTCAAATGATAGTCATGTTTAAAGCACTCATTTTGGAAAATTTTCTTCAAGTCTCCAACAACACTTCATAAACCCTAAGTAGTTATACAACAGAATTCAGCCCAGGTTCTAAACAATTCCTTGAGTGAAGAGGAGAGATTTCACTGCAAGTGTCTAATCCATAATAACAATTTTTTCCTAAATCATGGATTAATTAGTATACTAACAAGATCTAAAAACAGAAAAAGTATGGCACAGAATATTCATCTCAAGGATTATCAATCTCACCAATGAATACGACAAATGACTGTTAGATGTGGCTAAAAAAAAAAAAAAAAAAGAAACAGAACAAGCATGGGATGAAAGTAGATGTAATTAAAAATACCACAGTTCCAATACTGAAGAAGATGATTCCTTCCCAGACAAACCATTTTAAGATGACTCCCATCACAGAGAAGGAGAAAGAAGGTTGAAGAAAGTGATTCTGTCCCAGACAAAACATTTCAGATGACTCCTAGCACTGAGAAGTAGGAAGTAAGATTATCTTTCTATTAGCATATTTGCTGGAGCCTTTCTATAAGCAGATTTGCATATTTAAATTAGCATATCTAAATTTGCATATTAGCATATTTTCAAATGTGTTGACGTCCTTCTATTAGCATATTTGTAAGAGGGCTAGTAGTGACCTGAAATATTTAAATAAACTGTTGAAAAATTTTGTTATTGAAATAACATGTTCCCTGGCAAGTGTGAGGTCTGGAGTTTGATTCCTGGTATCAAAATAAAATAAAATAAAATAAAATAAAATAAAATAAAATAATAAAATAAAATAATAAAATAAAAAAACACATTCCCATTATAAGCCAGTCAAGTTAAAAATTTAAAGGAAATAAAATCTATAAAAATTCCACTCTCCAAATATAGCTACTCAATAACATTGTATTTATTTATTTTTTTGGTACTGGGAATTGAACTTGGGATCTTGAACTTGCCAGGAAGGCAGGCACTTGTGCTACTGAGCTATATCTCCAGCTGTCAGTAACATTTTAAAGCATTCTCTTACAGTTATTTTGCACAAACTTGTTTGATTTTTGGTTTACATTGTAGTTGTATATATTCTTCATATCTTGTTTTACAGTTCCTGTTACAACAAATACATTATATTTAACAGAAATCTCATCTTAAATATAATTTTGATGATTTTATACTTAACATTATAAATTTGTGATTATCCATCTAAACTCATTTTAAACATGTATTTGAAGATACTATGTATAAATTATAACATTTTATGAAATGTGTTACAACACCCATTCACAAATAGTTTAAAAAGTAACCAATAATCTACGAGGCTATTCCATTGTTAAGAGTTCCAGTTTAATGTTGGTATGTTAATATTTTGACACTAATATTATTTAATTATAGTCTAAATGCATATCTTCCTGGTAGTAAAACTGAACATTTGTCTAATAATAATTATTTATTTTGGGTTATATATTGTGAAAAACCTTTCTCATTCTTTCTAATTAACTACTATAACCAGGTACTTTTCTTCATGTTATTAACTAATCATTCACAAATTCTTTGTTATTGGTGCCAAGAGTTTTCTTTTTGCCTTTATCTGATTTTAGTTTCTACAGTACTTTAAAAGGGGTCACCATTCTTGTTCTCTTTGTAAGCAAATTTGTATTTTTGCTAAATATCATCTGAACTATAGGACATTGTGCCTTTATAATTTATAACCTTGTATTTTCCAATACAATAAACTGCATGAGTTGTGAGAAGATTTCA